CAAAATTCAATTTATAAAAATAAAAAAACAAATTACTACACAATACCCTTTAAGATCCCCCCCCCCCCATTCATCAGGTTTTATTCATCATCACTCTTCTCCAACTTTACAAATAGCGGAACAAACCGCCCCGACCTCAGTTTCATAAACTGGCCAGCAGATGCTTAATATTGCTCGACGCGTTTCATAAATAAAAATCCACTTCTTCAGGAGGAAGCCGGGGGGAGGGGATCGTCAAGAGCAAATCCTCTAAACATCACAAAGATGGAAATTTACAAAATGAATTCCCATGATGCAATACCAAAACATCCTTTTCGTAAACATGCGTTGGCCAACAGTACCTGATGCCCCTTAGGGGAGGTGCGAAGTATGGCCTAGAGCAGCCATTCTCAATCAGGGTTCCCTAGAACGCTACGGTTCTTGCAGAGGTTTCATGAGCTGTGGCTGATTGGCCCTCCATTGGAAGGTGCTTGCAGAGCCAACACCACTTGGCAAAGCCAGCAGCATGACACCAATGAGCTTTCTAGGTGTCAGAAGGGTTGGCATTCCACCACTGTAAGGGTTTCATTCTTTCTACTGACTACCAGTACCCTTTAAGACCCCCCCATTCCTTAGGTTTGGTTCATTATCACTCTTCTCCAATTTTACAAATAGCAGAACAAACCACCCCGACCTCAGTTTCATAAACTAGCGCACAGATGCTTAATATTGCTCGACGCATTTCATGAATAAAAATCCACTTTTCCAGGAGAAAGTCGGGGGGGGGGGGGGGATAACTAAGAGCAAATACTGTAAACATCACAAAGATGGAATTTTACAAAGTGAATTTCCATGATCTAATACAAAGACATCCTTGTCGTAAACATGTGTTGGCCAACCATATATGAAGCCCTTTAGGGGAGATGGTAAGTTTGACCGTAGAGCAGCCATTCTCAACCAGAGTTCCCTAGAACCCTATGGTTCTTGCAGAGGTTTCATGAGCTGTGGCTGATTGGCCCACCATTGGATGGTGCCTGCAGAGCCAACACCACTAGGCAAAGCCAGCAGCATGACACCAATGAGCTTTCTAGGTGTCAGAAGGGTTGGCATTCCACCACTGTAAGGGTTTCATTCTTCCTACTATCAGTGTAAGGGGCATTTTTCTCATTGACCCCCAATTCACTGGTTTTAGTAAGGGTTCCCTGATACCTGAACAATAATTTTAGGGATTCCTCTGTTGTAAAACGTTTGAGAAAAGCCGGCCTAGAGGGTCCAAGACAGAGACCCAACATACAGGGCAGCCCAGTCAGCCCACCAGGCAACCAATGGTCTTCTTTCCAGACGGCTCTGAATCTGAAGGCATCACGTTCTAACTTCATTATTTATAGGCATAAAGTGTCGGAAGTAATAACATTTTGGCAGTAAACTACTACAACGGATGATGTCAAGGGGGAAAATGCACAAAACAAGAAAAGACAGCCTGGAGTCCTCCTCAAATTCTATACCAGACCCTTATCTGAGGTTGGCCGGCCAGGAACAGCGGGCAAATATAAGCCCTCCCCCTGAACCATGCCAGGCCACATACCCCCATCATGGGGAGTGTACCTTAAAAAGGACCCCTTTCCCACAACCCTGGCCCAGTGGAGGTCTCTTGGTGGGGGGGGTTTAATGGAATCTTGATGCCCCCCTTTAAAAATAAGGGGGCTCTCAGATACTTCCCAACAGGTGAATGTGTAAGGGGTACATATACCCGGGATGATGTCAAGGGGGAAATGCACAAAACATAAAAACACAGCCTGGAATCCTCCCCAAAGTCCATACCAGACCCTTATCTGAGCATACAGGAACAGCATGGCGAGCATGTGCCCTCTCCCTGAACCATGCCAGGCCACATACTCCCATCATAAGCAGTGTACCTTACAAAGTGCTCCTTTCCCACAACCCTGGCCCAGTGGAGGTCTCTTGGTGGGGGGTGGTTAATGGAATCTGGATGCCCCCATTAAAAATAAAGGGGCTCTCAGATACCTCCCCACAGGTGAATGTGTAAGGGGTACATATACCCTGAGTTACTCAGAGTAATAAAACATGTTTTGGCCAACAGCACCTGACACCCCTTAGGGGAGATGTTAAGCATGACCTAGAGTGGCCATTCTTAACCAGAGTTCCTTAGAACCTGAACGTCCCTTAGGGGAGATGTCAAGTATGACCTAGAGCAGCCATTCTTACCAGAGTTCCTTAGAACCTGAACGCCCCTTAGGGGAGATGTTAAGCATGACCTAGAACAACCATTCTTAACCATAGTTCCCAAGAACCCTACAGTTCTGTCATGGTCCTGTCTATGGCAGGATTTCTGGAAGATCTGGTATTTCTGCCAATACCCTGCATGGGTGCAGAAGTATACATCAGCCTCAGTTTGGTGCCAGATGGCCTTTATTAGGAGGCTCATCACTTCCTCTAGTTGCTGGACGATCTCTAGCTCCCTGTGCCCTGTTCCCTGTGACTTGACCTGTGATTTCCTGTTACCGACTCGGCTTGCTCCTGGACCGGTCTACTCTGCCTTACTCCTGATCTGACCTCGGCTTGGCTTACGGATACTCTCTCTCTCGCTCCTCTTTTTATGACCTCGGCTATCCCATCTGACCACGTCTGCTCTGATTCCCACCTGGTACCTGACCTTGGCTTGAACCGTCTACCCAGTAAACACCTAAATCCCGGAAGGGCTTGCATACCACGCACAGGCGCCTCCTGTCTGCAGACCTATCTCTGTGCACCAGCTGTGCTCCTGGGTGGACCACCAACCAGCACTCTTACAGGCGACCTGTGCAGCTTTGGGCTGACTCCCGCTGTCCCACTTTCAGGGGAGTCTGGAACTTAGCTACAAGGGAAGCCGTGTCTCCATTGGCCTCCGTCACCAGGTACGTGATAAGTTCCTACAGAGGTTTCCTGGGGCATCATGAGCTGTGGCTGATTAGCCCACCATTGGATGGTGTCTGCAGAGCCAACACCACTTGACAAAGCCAGAAACATGACACCAATGATATCTGTAGGTGTCAGCAAGGTTGGCATTCTGACCACCACCATCAAGTCTTCCATTCCTCCCAGCCTACTAAAAAGTGGAAGGGGCATTTTTCCCCATTGACCCCACGCTAACTTAGTTTTTGTAAGGGTTCCCCTAGACCTGAACATTATTTTAGGGGTTCCTCTGTTGTAAAAATGTTCAAAAAAGCTGGCCTAGAGGGTCCTAGATAGGGACCCAACATACGGCTTAGCCCTTCAGCCCACCAATGGTCTCCTTCCCACCGAATCTGAAGGCATCACTTATAACTTCCTTATTTATAGGCACCTCAATGAAAATTTGACATCACATTTCTTCAGTAGATTTTTCCCAGCACATCCCTTATATTTAGAGAGGACAAAGCACCTACAGTTCTGCCAAAAAGTCTCCCTCCCCTGGCAGAAATGGTGAAATTTTGGCATCGATGAGGAAAATCTGACGGATCATGCCAAAAAAAAGTTATTTTATTGAAGGATCGCGATGATAGGAAGCCATTTGTGATCACATGGTTGTTTGGCTCCTTTTTAAAATCAAATGATAACAGAAATCCCCCAAATGGCCCCAAAGATGAAAAGTTTCCCTCCCCTGGAAAGTTTGGCCTTGGTACAGAAGTCTCCGCCCCCTGGAAGGTTCAGCCTTGGTACAGAAGTCTCCCCCCCTGGAAGGTTCAGCCTTGCTACAGAAGTCTCCGCCCCCTGGGAGGTTCGGCCTTGGTACAGAAGTCTCTGCCTCCTGGAAGGTACGGCCTTGGTACAGAAGTCTCTGCCCCCTGGAAGGTTCGGCTTTGGTGCAAACACACACAGGTTACCACGGCAATTAAAGGTTCATTCCCCATATCTGTGGCTTTGTACATTGCAATTAGAGTCTATGTATAAATAGTCAATGAATACGCTTTCACATGGATGCACTGAACAGGCTAGATACTGAGCCATGGGGAGCAGAAAAGAACCGTCAAAAGACCTGCGTAACAAGGGAATAGAACTTTATAAAGATGGAAAAGGGTATAAAAAGATATCCAAAGCCTTCAATATGCCAGTCAGTTCTGTTCAATCACTTAGTAAGAAGTGGAAAATTCTGGGATCTCTTGATACCAAGCCAAGGTCAGGTAGACCAAGAAAAATTTCAGCTGCAACTGCCAGAAGAAATGTTCAGAATAGAAAGAAAACCCCCCCACAGGTCACCTCAGGAGGAATCCAGGCTGCTCTGAGAAAAGACAGTGTGGTTGTTTCAAGGAGCCCAATACGACGATACATAAACAAAAATGAGCTGCATGGTGGAGTTGCCAGCAAGAAGCCTTTACTGCACCAATGCCACAAAAAGTGCTCAGTTACAAAATGGCCGACAACACTTTGACACACTTCTCCAGGCTTTTTGTGGCATTGGCACAGTAAAGGCTTCTTTCTGGAAACTCCACCATGCAGCTCAGTTTTGTTCAAGTGTCGTCGTATTGTGCTCCTTGAAACAACCCCACCATCTTTTTCCAGAGCAGCCTGTATTTCTCCCGAGGTCACCTGTGGGGCTCCAAAATTAATATTGAGAATTAGGTTCGGCCTCTGCAACAGTCCCAGATCCTCCGAGTATTTGTAAAATCTTCCACCACAAAATGTCCTCAGCCAATGACAGGTGATGACCCCATTTTTTATTCTTCTCCTGCTATCAATGGCCAACCTGGTCCCACACTTCATCCACGTCTTTGGTGACCTCTGACCTCCTTATGCACCGTTTCATCCAGCCATGGAGTATATCTGAGGTGTATATCAGGGGGTGCTTCTTCCCCACATGAGAGCTGGGATGTCCAGCAACATTCATCTAGAAGACATTATCCACACTCAAGGCACTAATACACCTCCAGGGTTGTGTGGGACCCCTGATGTACAGGAAGACAGGACTTCAGTGAGGAGCAATTCCCACATGGAGGACAGGAAAGTGGCTTCTCCCCGTGTGAGATCTCTGATGCTTGTAAAGATTGGATTTATGAGAAAAACATTTCCCGCACTCTGGACAAGAATACGGCTTCTCCCCCGTGTGCAATCTCTGATGCGTATGAAGATTGGACTTATCTGAAAAACATTTCCCGCAATCAGGACAGGAATACGGCTTCTCCCCCGTGTGCAGCCTCTGATGTTTGACAAGATCTGATTTTTGTATAAAACATTTCCCGCACTCTGTACAGGAAAATGGCTTCTCACCTGAGTGCGATCTCTGATGTATGTAAAGATGAGACTTATGAGAAAAACATTTGCCGCACCCATGGCAGGAATACGGCTTCTCCCCCGTATGAAAACTTAGATGTCTTACAAGTGCTGACTTCCGTAGAAAACACTTCCCGCATTCAGGACAGGAAAAAGGTTTCTCACCTATGTGATATTTTATATGCTCATTAACTTTGTATTTAAAACGGAAGCACTTCCCGCACTCAGGGCAGGCATATGCCTTCTCCCCAGTGTGAGATCTTTTATGCGCATTAAGATGAGATTTAAAATGGAAACTCTTCCCGCACTCAGTACAGGGAAACCTCTTCTCTGTTGGAAGGCCGGCCCGGTCCCGCACAGTCGGAGGTTCCTCAGGATACGAGGAATCCGATGGTCCATCTACACTGGGTGGTGCCGGATGGACATTGGAGGGAGCCGGGTTTTCTCCTGGACTATACTGTGTGATGTCCTCATCTTCTACTTTCCAGTCTAGAGACAAAGTGAGACAATCCTCGGAGGTTTTCCTCATCTCCCGACCATGGACTAAAATACAAAGACAAAGAGGATTACTAGACAGGAGCCGATTGGTTCCCCCAAACCAGGACTCCGCCCACATCAGGCAGTTTGGTCTCTGAGGAGCTTACAAGGTAAATGGTTCCTCTTGAGCTCCAGGCTCTTGTCAGACAGAGAGAGATCCAATGAGAACTTTATCATCTGGACCAATCAGTGAGCAGTATGGGTGGAGGAATGGATTTAGTGTTCATGACCCACCTGTGCTGATCTCTGTAGGAGTGTCCTCCTCTATAAATGTCCCCGTTATTCCATCCTCCTCCATAGACTGCTGATCATCCCTCACATACGTCTCTTCTTCTTCTGATTTCACCTCAAATTCTATATCGATTGGATCTCCACTCTACATCAAGAGAAGGAGAGAAAATATCATCTGTAAGATAGAAGATTTATTATTGTGACATCACATAGAGAATCCGCACATCGTCTCCATGAGTCCATGTTCTAGATTCTCCATCCCACCAACCTTGTAATAGTGAGGGATGGTGTGACCTTCCTGTGTGGAATCCCGGGAATACAGAGGATGGGGACATCTCTCTGGTGGGTTCCTGGTATTAGGTGGCTCCATCATATCCTTTTGTCCTTCTGAAAACTCCTCCATCACTCCATACTCCTCATCCTCCTCTTTATACTCTTCTTTAACAACAATATTATAATCGCCGAGGATTCCACTCTGAATATATAATAAAACATACATTGTAACAAACATGCTGTGTATAAATCACAACTACCAATAATTGTTCCTCACCAACCTTGTAATAGTGAGGGATGGTGTGACCTTCCTGTGTGGAATCCTGGGAATACAGAGGACAGGGACATCTCTCTGGTGGGTTCCCATGACTGGATCCATCTGTAGGAAACACACACACTGACTGAATCCATTGTTTCTATGTGTTTATCAGATGATGGGGGATCTAGGTGGACCCTCCGCACTGCTCTCCTTTCCAATAAAGTCTCCTCTTACCTGGTGATGTGAGGGGCGGCTGATTGTCCATCATGACGTCCTTGTAGAGGTCCTTGTGTCCTTCTAAATACTCCCACTCCTCCATGGAGAAATAGACAGTGACACCCTGACACCTTATAGGAACCTGACACACACAATGATACAGTCACCATCCAGACACATCCCTTGTCTGTTACTGGAGAATGTCCCAGAATTCCCGGCACCGCTCACCTCTCCTGTCAGCAGCTCCATCATCTTCTTGGTGACTTCTAGAATCTTCTGCATGTTGTGTCTTTCAGGGTTTAGGGAGTCACATGGAGGCACTGTGATGGTCATATGATCACCTGACTTCAGAAGAGGAAATCTCTGTATTGGGGAACCAATAGGAACATCATGTTAGACTCCCAGAATACTCATCACCTCTCCGGTCAGGTCTGTGTGTTTTATTAATAGAGATAGGAGTGATGTCATGTGACCTCCCAGAATCCTCCTCACCTCTCCGGTCAGGTCTATGTTCTATTAATAGAGATGAGAGTGATGTCATGTGACCTCCCAGAATCCTCCTCACCTCTCCCGGTCAGGTCTGTGTTTTATTAATAGAGATAGGAGTGATGTCATGTGACCTCCCAGAATCCTCCTCACCTCTCCGGTCAGCAGGTAGATGATCTCCAGGGTGAGGTTTAGTATCTTCTCAGTCATGTGACTCCGGTCCTCCTCCATTGATGTGGTCATGTGATCTATGTGGGTTTCTCTGTAGATGTATAGCAGAGAATTACCTGTATTGTATTGGTTGCACAACATTCTGACGGGGAAAAAAGGGAGTAACACCCTCTAGTTTAGCTAGATAGGATTTTGTGAGGCAGAGGCTTGTTAGAAGCCTGTGATGAGTCAGCTTGGCATGAGTCAGTGAGGCCACCTCAGTACAGGCTGGGAGGCTCTTGACAGGTCAGGGCTTCTGGAGCCCTCCCTCCACTCTAGAAACTGGAGGAACTTTCTAGAAGAAGGGCAGAGGCCTATATTTGCATGTCTAAAGAAACTTGGCCAAACCCCAGGCAGGAGGCCAGGCATGGTGGCTAAGAGCCACCCTTAAATATGGAAGAGCCTAACCAGCAGGGGAGCCGGTTGGAAGATGAACTGAAGGAAGGTGCTGGAGTATGGAGCCTGGGAGGGGTCCCAGGGAGGAAGGCCTACCTACAGGCAGGATCTTGGGAGGACAATCTGTCAGCAGGGAAGCAGCCAGCCCAGTGTAAGGCCTGGAAGCAGCTGCAGCACACTAAGCTACAGGATGGTGTGAGTATTTCTACACTCCCCGGGCCAGATAAAAGGGAGAGGGCGGTCAGGTGCAATACCCAACTAGTTCTCACTCAGGACTACTTCATTGCAGATCTTGGAATCCCTTGCCCACGGATACCTTCAGTACAGCCAAATGAAAGAGGAAGGGGTTCATCTGAGCTCTGAGGAGGTACACCAAAGGGGACTAAGCGCTCCTTAAAGTGACAGTTGCTAATTTCTGGTCAGTATTTTTGTACTGTGTTCTTTTACTAAGAAGATGTCTGAACAAGGTGTGGCCAATAGCTCCCTATAGGACAGTGGTGTAGAAATGACAGATCTTCTTTAAGGAGACATCAGGAGTCTTTTAAACCACCTAACCTCATCTATGGACCCGCGTGAAGCTGATGAAGTACAGATCAGGATTATTGAATGTCTTCTTCTCCGGGGAATGACGGCTCTGAGCCTGGAAGTGATGACATTCCCGTCTCTCCTGGGTTCATTCACCGGAGGGGAGATCCGAGAACTGACCACCCTCCACTTTGTCCGCCATGCTGGTCCCTGGCCTACAGGAAGGGCTGAGGAGACCGGAGTATATGGCAGAGATGCGAGAGAGGGGTCGGTATTTTTGATGGAAAGGTGTGGAAGTGGACATTTCAGTCCAACCCAAATCCCACCCCGTTACAGGAGACGGCTGAGGTATGAAGGAAGAGGACGGGCGTGACGGTGGAGGAAGAGGACGGACATGATGGGGGGTTACTGGGTATAAATAGAAAATCAGATCTTATTACCTCCTCTGCTGCCACTTCCAGCAATGTCTCCTCTCTACTTCCTCCCAATTCACCTCTTAGCTAGAACTTCCTGTCTGTACCTGACATCACTTCCTGTCTTCTATAGAGACTTCCTGTCTGGGTAGACATGAGATCACCACCTTGTGGAGCTCAGAGGAACTGCAGCCCCGAGAACCGTCTGGTAGTGTGACCCCGGCCTTGTGCTGGGTGTGTATGGACTGTATGTCCTCATAGAGGGGTCACCTCCACTCCCACCAAGGGGGACATAAATATATGACTGCCTAGTCCAGCCTTTCTCAGCCAGGGGTTACTTCAAAGGGTTCTAGGGGTTCCATCAGCAATGAACAATTCCCGTCTCTCAGTAACAACTGACATCAATGACCTGTAAGGGGGGCAGTCTTCCCACTGATGACTATGTAAGAATGTCCTTCTTCCACTGACCACTGATATAAGGGGGTCCTTCTCCCATCGGTCACCAATGTAATGGACCGCTACACTGACCACTGATATAAGGGGGTCCTTCTCCCATCGGACACCAATGTAAGGGACCGCCACACTGACCACTGATATAAGGGGGTCCTTCTCCCATCGGTCACCAATGTAAGGGACCGCTACACTGACCACTGATATAAGGGGGTCCTTCTCCCATCGGTCACCAATGTAATGGACCGCTACACTGACCACTGGCATAAGGGGGTCTTTCTCCCATCGGTCACCAATGTAAGGGACCGCCACACTGACCACTGATATAAGGGGGTCCTTCTCCCATCGGTCAGCAATGTAAGGGACCGCCACACTGACCACTGATATAAGGGGGTCCTTCTCCCATCGGTCACCAATGTAAGGTACCGCCACACTGACCACTGATATAAGGGGGTTCTTCTCCATCGGTCACCAATGTAAGGGACCGCCACACTGACCACTGATATAAGGGGGTCCTTCTCCCATCGGTCACCAATGTAAGGGACCGCTACACTGACCACTGATATAAGGGGGTCCTTCTCCCATCGGTCACCAATGTAAGGGACCGCTACACTGACCACTGATATAAGGGGGGCCTTCTCCCATCGGTCACCAATGTAAGGGACCGCCACACTGACCACTGATATAAGGGGGGCCTTCTCCCATCGGTCACCAATGTAATGGACCGCTACACTGACCACTGGCATAAGGGGGTCTTTCTCTCATTGGTCACCAATGTAAGGGACCACTACACTGACCACTGATATAAGGGGGTCCTTCTCCTATCGGTCACCAATGTAAGGGACCACTACACTGACCACTGATATAAGAGGGTCCTTCTCTCATCGGTCACCAATGTAAGGGACCACTACACTGACCACTGATATAAGAGGGTCCTTCTCTCATCGGTCACCAATGTAAGGGACCATTACACTGACCACTGATATAAAAGGGTCCTTCTCTCATCGGTCACCAATGTAAGGGATCACTACACTGACCACTGATATAAGGGGGTCCTTCTCCCATTGGTCACCAGTGTAAGGGACCACTACACTGACCACTGATATAAGAGGATACTTCTCCCATTGGTCACCAAGGCTGACCCTTCAGGTAAAAAATATCTACATCCCTATACTGCCTGGAGCACATTGGTGGGTCTCCTAGATCTGAGAGTAAAGATGTAAATGAGACCAGAAATCTGCTTCATGATTGGACAAGATATGGATCATTCCTCATCTCCTTCCTGGTTATGAAAATCTCTGATCTCACCAGTCCAGTATCAGAATATCAGCCAA